TTGGAGGGAGGGATAAGGAAGAAGGATGGATGGATGACAGTGATGGAGGGATAAGAGGGATAGATGGATAAGAGGGATGGATGGATGAAGATGGAAGGATAGAGAGATAAGATAGAGAGAAGGGATAAGGAAGAAGGATGGGTGGAGAGATTAGAGGGATGGATAATGTCAGGCTGGTTCTAACACAGATGTTTACCAGAGAAAGTTCTTCACGCCATTTACTTGAACTGGAAGGTTCTTTCGTTGAAGTCCAGTGAAAATAAAACTAGATCTGAGTATCTCCCCCCCTTCGCTGCCCCCCCCCCCTTTAGCCCCAACTTAGACACTTAGGAGAGAGCGAGCCTCGGGTTTTTACTTCTTTTACTCAAGTGCTTGCGGCTAGATGTCAGTATTTCTCCCCCCACCCAGCAGGCCTCCCCCCGCTTGGCCAGTCCATCAGGGTCCAAGGGGATGGCTTTGGGGTGTTTGGGGAACGGCTGGGTTCTTTGGCGCCTTCGGCCGCACTCTCCGTTCGGTTCCCAAGCCAGGTGTCCTTGGCGGCTGGGTTGTTTTGTCGACATGGCTCCACGCCGGCCCTTCGCGTCCTCGTTCCTAGGTCCACAGGGTGGGCTGCCCCAAATTCCCTCCGCTCCCGATTTATGGCAGGAGGCCAGCGAAGCTGGAGATGGCAGGCCTGAGAGACTGGAATGGATGGATGGATGGATGGGGAAAGAGAGAGAAAGAGAGAGAGGGTGGGAGAGAGAGATCCTTCTGGACATGGGTGGCGGAGAAGACACTTGAGAATGGGAAGACGAGAGACGGTCAAGCAAAGTTTTACCCTGGAAGGAACCAAGGCAGGGTTCTCACTCAAGGACCAAACCATGGATACGGTCACCAAGCCCCAAAAGCCCTCCAGCTCAAAAGATCTGGGCTTGGCCTGTGGTAACATCAACTCTGCCTTGTTTGATCTCAAAAACTCAACCAGTTCAGTCCAGAAAAGGCCAGAGAAATATTTCAGAAGTCCGAGTCTTTCGGACTATTGAAAACCGCACGGATGGGTCCACTTTGAGTCCGCTTGACCTTTTTTCAAGGGAGGGATGGGGTCAAGACGGAGAAAGTGGTGGCCACAATAGAGGAGACCCTGTCCCCTCGTTCAGTCGCTAAGGGGTGTCCGGTTCTTCATGACTGCATGGATCACAGGATGCCAGCCACTCCCCTCCCTCACCCCCTGCTCTCCCCCGCCCTCCACTGTCTCTGAGGGTTACCTAAAATCACGTTCATTGCGTCGATGACACCTATGGACTATCTACTATCTCACATCCTCTGTCGTCCTCTTTCGCCTTCCATCCTTCCCAACACCGGGGCCTTCTCCAACGAGTCCTCTCTTCTCCTTTGGTGGCCAAAGTATTTGTGCTTCAGCTTCGCTATGGGTCCTTCCATGGAACGATCGACTAGCACTGATGAAGAACACGGTTGTGAAGCGAATCTGGCTTCCCCGTGGGGTTTGCTCGTTGGAAGGTCGCAAAAGGGGATCGCATCACACACAAACACACACACACACGCACACAGAGGGGATACTGTGACCGTCACAAGTATGGGTCAGTTGCCAAGCATCCGGATTTTGATCACATGACCTTAAGGGGTGCTGCAAGAGCCAGAAGGCACTTTTTTTTCAGTGACGTAACTTTGAATGATCGCTAAACGAACAGCTAATCTTCCGAATTTTGACCGTGTGACCATACTGCAGGGATGATGTTCCCCAGTTGGGTCCTGAAACACTTGCAACAAGCTCAGAGAGCACCAAGGACCCCACAGTCCTCCCTCCTCCTCTTCCTCCTCCACAGACACCTCTCTTTTCTAACACTGATGATGTTAGATAGTTGGATCCTGAAATGTCTGCAAGAAAAGTACCAAGCCCAGAGCACAATCGTTCTCCTCCTCAAACCTGCTAGCACAGATGATGTTCCCTAGTTGGGTCATGAGATGCCTGCAAGAAAACCACC